ATGTCTGGGGTCCTATCATGAATCAAATAACAGTATTTTTATGTTTTTAACATCAACAAATAGTAAATTATCAATAAAAAATTCATAAATCTTTAAACTATTATTACTTGTTGTATATTAATATTATGGACATATAACTAATATTATTGAATGCGTCTTGATAAAATGAATCTAATGAGCTATTTATTATACAATCTTATATGACCACTGGATAATGAAATAATTGGGTATTTCTACATGATAAAATTTTAATATTATTTTTAATATTTTATCTTCAAACTGTTATATATGATAAACTATACTAAATAACCTGCTGTTTTTTTTATTTAACTTAAAAAATATCAGTAATTTTATTGGAAAAATGTTATTTTTTTTTTAACAAATATTTTTCATATTAAAATTTCTAAATTATGTATTTTTTAAAAAATTTCTGAAATTAAACTAGGTATGTACTTATTATAAAGTTGTTAAAATTATATATTACATGTAATTTCATCTTCTCTACAACTTTACTTAATAGTAAAAAGTATATTTAAAATGTCAATTTTTATTTTTATATATGGTATATTTTTCTGATCAGCAAATTTTAAAAATGAATATCATTATTAAATTTGGTTGTATTACTAGTAAATTTTATGATTGAGCGTCAAATTTATTTTTATTAATTAAATATGATTTTGACTTTTAATATAAAAAAAAATTGTACCATCTCAATTATTAATAAGTTTATTTAATAATGAAATATTATTTTTAAAAATTACGTGCAAATTTAGGCATAAAACACTTTAGGATATATCATAAAAATTATCATTTTTATTGATACTTATATAAAATCATATATATAAGTTTAGTACCAGTCTGTACTATTTGATAAATACCAATTGATAAGTTTTGAATTTATTAAACCTGATCAGGAAATAAGTCTGTTATTTTATTTTCTTAATTTTTTTGAATAAACTTTACCAAAATAAATGCATTTTTCAAATTTCAGGATAACATTGCTAATCTAAAGATTTCTATTGCAATTTAGATATAATTAAACTGATCAATCATATTTGATGTAACAATTAAGTCCTTTAAACTGATGATACATTAATCTGTTTGATGTTATTATGGAATTATATACAATAACAAAAAAGGATTTATGAATCTGAAATTTACTATTTTACTATTAGATTTATGGTTTTTTATAATCCTTTTCCAGTTCTTTATATCAGTATTATATGAATATGATATTAAAAAATGGAATTGATCAATTTGGAATTAAGATCATTATTGTTCAAATTATAGAAAGGTGTTTGAATCCTACAATAAATATTATAGTGGCCTAAGTTTTTTTGATTGTAGTTGAACTTGCTTGTCAGTACTTTCAATAAAAAAGATAATGAATATATGAATATATAGAACAAAAAAAGGGGATATCGAAATAAATTAATGCAACAGTTAGAGTTAGGAGTTGATTTACAAGTAGCATTTAGAATTTAAGGGATGGCAAAAAACATATTTTAAAAATGGTTTAAACCATTTAGACAATAGCACTTTTAATACTTTATTTTATTCAATTATTCAATATTATATACTTATTGTATAGTATTTAGGCAGTATTTAAGGTTTTATTGTATAAAAAATCTAATTTTATTAATGTATTTGTTAAATGTAAAATAAAGTGTGTGATCCTATAAGGATATATAATAAAATGCTTATAATATATAATTGCAATAAAATATCTATAAAATTAAATTTCATCAAATTTGATAAATTGCTACAAGTTATTTATACGTTGGATTTTTTTTATCTTTATTTTGATGAACCTTGCTTTCCTGATGGTCCAAATCCAAAACTGTGTTTAATAGTATCTTTAAGCGTAGTCGACTTAATCGTATCGATTTTTAAAACCCATTGTTGAACATGTTTGAGTCTCTTGTCCTTTTTTATGACCCTTCGAAAGTTCCTACTGATCGGATCTTTTACTACGATATGATATCTTGATACCTGTAGCTCTCGTATATATCTTCCGGTACCACAAAGACTAAATAAATTAGGGCATTCACATTCTTTCTATAAGCCGGCATATTTTCAACTATCCTAACTAACTCGGCTTGTTTGATTGGATGATTATTGGACACCGTAACCTGAAAAATCGTATCTGGTGTGTAAAATAGATAGGGATGTTAACGGTTCGGTCCATCCGGTTTTCGGTCCAAAAACTGGTGGTTTGAGTACAAAACCGAACCGTTATAGGTTTAGAACCAGAGTTTGAACCGAAGTTTGGACTGAAGTTTAGACCGAAGTTTAGACCGGATATTTATAGTATTTTATACAAAATTGTGTAATGCAGATCATGAATTTAAATATATCGTATATCGTCAAAAAATTTTTTATTATAAGAAAAAAAATTACCAACAAAATTTCATATAATGTAAAAAAAAAGGAAAAAAAAAAAGACATATTGCAAGTATTGATTTAATTTTCCATTCTTTCTTTTTCTGATATCCAATTTTTCATGCATATAATTGCCCTTGCCGTTTCAGGATCTAACCTATTTCTAGTTTTTGAAATAGTTAATCCCGAAATTGAAAATGCCCTTTCTGATGTAACCGACGTTGCTTGGATTGTTAAATAATCCTTAGCTATTTGTGATAGTACTGGGTAATCCTTTTCATAAGTTTTCCACCAAATTAAAGAACCTGTATTACTATCTACTGGAGAATTTAAGTATCGATCTAATTCATCATTCGATACTTCTTGACGAATATTATTTGGATTAAGTAAATTAAGAAAATAATCACGAGATGATCGTGCTGGTGCTGATGGTATGGTTTGATTATTTAAGGGTAAATATGACAAATATAATTCTTGTAATTTACTAATAATTTCAGTTATATCATTATGACTAAATAATGTGGTTTTGTAGCGTGGATCTAATATTGAAGAACTGAAGTAATGGAAGATTGATTCAAATATTTGTCCCAATAGGCTTTCAATTTATTACAAATTGCTGATGCTATTGCCTTTTGTGTATGGTGATTTCCTCTTTGATAATGATCCAATTTTTTAAACATTCCATTAAAAACCAATCTTATATCACCTTGTGTAGGATTTTTTGATGATGATAATAAATTGGTTGCTTCATACATAGGTTCTAATACCTTTGCTAATTCCTGTAAAAAAAAAAATAATAATTAATAAATATATAATTATAAAATAATATAAATAATAATTTATAAAATAAAAAATACCTTAATATATCGCCATTCAGATATTGTTGGAAATAAATCTCCAAGTTCTTCAACATTTGTTGTTGCAAGTAATTCTGAAACACCCTGCATTAAGATTTGTCTATTAATCATAAAATATGTGGAATTCCAGCGAATGTCTATATCTAAAATTGGTTTAAGAAATTTAACTTTTTTAAGGGTACAAATTTCTGATAATTTATCCAAAAATAATGGTGAATTCTTGATTTTAACAACAAATTGACGAAGTTTTTTGATTTCATTTCCAACATGACTCATTCCTGCTTTTACTGCTAAATTTATAATATGTGCAGCACATCTGTAATGAGTAAAAGCCATATTATTAAACTCCTGATCTAATTCAGTTGCTAGTTGATTACCACATGCTATCATGTTGCTTCCATTGTCTGTAGTTAATGCAAGAATATTATTACTGATACTAAACTCTTCAAGAATTTGTAAAAGCTTGCTAGTAATTAACCCAGCTGTATGAGAACCATTTACAGGAATTAAATCAAGTAAGAGATTTTTTAATTCCCAATTGTTGTTAATATAATGCATTGTTACTCCAAGATAACAATCTTTTGAGATTTCTGAAGTCCAAATATCAGTAGTAAGAGAGATTTTTGAGTTAATTTGTGAGACTTCATTAATTAACACATTTTTTCTCATTTTATAATTTTCTATGAATTTTTCCTTTAAGGTTTGTCTGCAAGGTAAAATATAGTGGGGATTCAATTTATTAATTAATAATTTGAATTCAGGATTTTCAACAATGGTAAAAGGTTGCAAATCAGTTGCAACAAAATCAACCAAAGAATCTGTGATAGGTTTAGATTTTGATGGAGAGTAAGGTTTAAAACGTAAAGTAGTTTGGCGGGTTTCAGGTTTTTTATAATGTGATGGATGTTTTTTAGTTAAATGACGTCGAAGTGTAGATGTTGGATTACCAGGTGAATAAAGTTTTGCACACAAAATACACTTATAGTTTGTAATTAACCAACTTTCCTCATCTTGAATTTTTTGAAAAAACTCCCAAACATCTGCTGACAATTTCTTATTTATAATTCTTTCATCATCAGATGCTAAGGAATCATCTGATAAATTATTATCGTCATTTTCAAAAACTCCCGACATAGTTGTAATAATGCAAGGTGATATAAAAAAATGTAAGAATGTAAAATCCGTTATTCTTTTATTGTAAAAAGTTACGCGTGCAGATACACGTAACCGTTAATTGAACCGATCTAAAACCGGTTCACTAAACCGGTTTCTATCGGTTCGGTCTCGGTTTGGTTTGACGTTTGAACTGAACTGAAACCGGTCCTATGATCAAACTGCGGTTCGAACCATCCAATCATAAACTGTTAACATCCCTAAAAATAGATCGGCCGCACCAAAATTTGTTGTGTCTGGAAGGTTAATATTGTTATCATTTTTACTTGCAAGTTCAGCTGCAGTTCGAATATTAGCGGTTACTGGTTTATTTAAAGAAAACTTCTTATGTCCGGGAGTACTTGTTGGCTTAGGGTCTTCAAGCAATTCTCTCATCTGGAATTGTTCATTACAAGACCGGAAAAGGTGTATTACAAACATTTCAAACATAAGTCCTCTAGCAGCGGGATATTCTTTCATCGTTTGGATCTTTTCCAAAAGAGATTTCCATGACTGTTTATCTAGGTTTTTTTCGATCTCATCTTGTATATAACGAGAAGCCCATTGGAGGTGAAAACCAATATAAGAAGAATCAGCCCATCGGTGGACAAGGCGACTGCTATACTGAATAAAATAGGCGTTTTCGGTGAAGCAATTCAAAAGGCCACTAAAGTCTTCAACTAGCAAAAGAGCTTGTTGAACACGTTCAAAAGCTTCGTATATAATCATCTGCCTCTCTACGTCTATTTTTGGATCAGAACCATAATGCAATGAGATTTCAACTCTCCGAAAAACATATCTTGGCACACCGCCCGCCTTGTAATAAAGTTCTTGCATTATGTCTTGCGGCACTTCCGGGAAAACATGTTCTCGACAAAATGATAACTCCCCTAATGTCCAAGGTGACATGTTAAATTTCTTTACAATATCCTTGTCGATTTCTTGAAATTTATCTTTAGCTACGCCTCTTGGCGATAAAGCAATAACTGTTTTTGCCGACACTAACTCGGGAGATATAATACCATCCGCTAGGTACCACGTTTCGGAGGAATTCCAGTGAGTTGAGAAGTCTTTATAACTCCCGGAACTGAGATTAAGATTCTCAAAACAGTAGAAGACTTCTTTATTTTTATGAGACTGAAAAATGATCGGGACATCCTGTTCACACAAATGCAGGATTAAGAAGTAAATCAAGAAGCATGATTTACCAACACCAGACGTGCCGGTCACTAGGAACTTGTGTTTGGTATTCTTAGGACCCCTAGATGCTAGTTCGATCAATCGATAGCGAAGATCCTCGTATGATTCTCTCACATACATTGCTGGCTTCTCAATCACTGCAAGCAGTTTGTCTTCAGGATGTCTAATAATATTGGATGGCGTATTTTTACTCCCCGAAGACACTACTTTAATGTCGTCAACATCGATGTCAATTGCCGTAATAGCCTTATCTTTGCTAGTTCGTAAGTGTTGGACTAATTCACAAATGTTACTAAATTCCTCATCTAATAATAAAAAGTAAAAAAAATAATGATTAATATGTCGTAGCTTTCAGGAATCTGATGACTCATTCTAAATCCCGTGTTAGTAAAGTTTACCTAATTTTTCCTTCTTGGAATCTCTTGTTTCAACAAAAGGCGAAATTGACCTTATTGACCTTTTCCCTGCACAAGTTTGAAGAGAATATTACATATGCCACAATGCCAAGGTAACGATTATCGAAAAAAGAATACGCAAACCAAATTTATTTGAGGTAAACCATTGGGAGACACTTACCAGTAGCGGGCACTTGTACGATGACGTGAATATTTTCCGCATCCTCAGTCTTTATACCTTTTGGAAAATATCTTCTAAACATACGAGTAGGTTTCAACTTCTCGCCATTAAGAATATCTTCAATGTTATTGGCTTCGACATTTTTAAGCTTGCTTTCTTCCTCTTCAGTGATGTTAACCTTCCAAAGCGTCATATTGTCAGGATCATTGATTTCTATCGTATCTCGTTTATTATTCCAAATAAGGAATTTGAGCTCTGAAATATTTAAATCATCAATATCGGTCGAATAATGACGAATTTCGTTACTATCAGCAATTTTAACCACAAAAGCATCATCAAAAGACTGTCCTAAGAGTAAACAATTTAGTTTCACCATTATTTGGGAGATAATCTGTAAAGAGATAAAAAGAATTTTAAAGAAGTGTTTTTTTTTAGGGAGAGAGAATATTTTGAGAAAGTTTGAGGATAATATATATACTTGTAAAACCTTTCATGATTAATAATAAAATAGACTCTTGATCAGTGGCTTATAATGACGATTTAAAAATAGAATTTATCAGTAAAAAATTTATGCGAAAGAATTGATTAATATGATGAGTATTCATCAGTATTATTTTTCGGTCGTACGGCTATTTTTATAATCAACACTAATTGTGGTATTGTACTACCAACTTAATTAATTTTACGGATAATTATTTCCTGTCGAAAATCACGTGATGAGTCTGTGACAGTATTATTAGAATAAATGTATTTTATGTTTTTCATATCTTCCTTCTGTTCTTCCCTTTTTTTTTCCAATCAAGGTGCAACACCCTGTTTCTGTAAAGGGCAGTCGTGTTTTGTTATTCAGTTGTACAAATTGCTTTCGGTCTTAGTATGTAGGACTCGGTAATTTTTACTGTAACTCGGTTCATTTTGTGAATTAAAAATAAAAATAAAAATCGTTTTTTCATATGATCAATAAATCAATGGGACAAATTTACCAGACATTTTATAATTTTTTTGCGTGTATTATTTTTTCTTTATTGTAGCATCATAAATAAATGCGCAGTAATATTATAGTAATATGTCACATGTATTACAGGAACAAGTAATTGCGCGAAATAATTTATTCTCGTTAAAAAAAGCCCTTGATGATCTTTACATATATGTGAAGAAGAGGTGGTTGGTCAGATTTTCGTGATGAGGTCATTTCCCCCAAATTTGATCCTGCAAATTATATAAAAAGGTGATGCCCCGATTAGTAAACAATAATCAAGCGAAAAATCAAACGAAAATTCTAATAAAATTTAAACCCATCATTATTTTGGTCATTGATATTTACAATCTGCATTCCGCAAAAGTAATAATAAGTTTGTAATTTGGATTAGCTTCTTGAAACAATGTCATCGATGTGACCGCGAGGAATTACGACTATTATTATTAAAATATTTGACAGGTAGACAATAAGAATTACATGTGAGAAAAGACAATTTTAATCTACTTTTATTGATGATTTATTACTCTATATGGAAATTAATTATACAATAATTTAAAAAAACCTCAAAAAAAAAAAAAAGTACGAGCAAAAAGAATGTAACCAAAAATAGAAATCAAAATTGATTGTTTTTTTTTCATCTAACAACTTTTATGATAGTGTCATAAGTTTTTTCTTACTTAAAAATGCATGGTAAATGTGGGTAGGAAAATTTATTGGTTACGCAAAGTCTATCGTAGGATGATCAAATCCAATTCATAGCTTTTTATTCTTTGAATATAAAGAATAAGCTATTATGACTAGATACTGTAATAAATTCTTCATCATTATCTTTTTTGTATTTCAATTTTCTTATTATTTGTAAATTAGAAGCTTTTTCAATATGTTCCTTGATTGTAGAAAGTTATCAAAAAGAAAAATTCGATTTCTAGTAATCCCAACTGCTGCCAGCTTGATTGTCATTATTTGATTTAAGAGAAGTTCTCAAGTTATTCTTGTTAGTAAGATATTCAATATGTAAACCTAAACATCATGAAATTTTAAATATTCTCTTTAATTGAAACGTTTTTTCCATAATTAAATAATTGCACCCTCCATAATTGCACCCATTATGTATACAGTATACCCTCTCTAAATGCACCCTCTGATTCGGTCTCAAGCTTATATGATCTCTAATTATTTTGCCTTTATAAATGCACACCCTCTCTAAATGCACTATTTTGAAAATCGTGCATATGGTAATTATGGTATGTATCATTACAATTATATTCAATTAATCATATTAACGCTCAGGTCGCTCAGCCCTTTCTCAGAAATAAATTTTTATCTCACTCCGGGTAAACAAAAATGAAACGAAAAATCCATAGGGACAATCAAATTATTAAATGAATTGAATTAAATCAAATTAGGTAAATTTTGAAACTGTTTAAACTTTTAAAATACTTTAAAAATAATAAAAACTTGGAATTGAAGAAGAAAAAAAGGTAAATTTTTTTTTAAATTGGAATATTAATAATAATAAAACTTTACTAATATTTTTATTTTCTTTTTTTTTTTTATTTTAGAAATTATTAAAATACTTTATTGCCATTTTTGAATTACTGTAAATAGTATACTGTAAATAGGAAAAATAAAATAAAAAAATGAATTTTTTCAAAAATCCACAAAAACAATAAAATTTTATTGCATTTTTGGATAGAGAAGGTGCAATTATAACCTGAAAATGTCCCCTTTGCCATTTCTTAGGTGCTAATCGCATTAGTAGTATATAGCATGTATAAAAAAACCATTCGTATTTTTATTATATTTAAAGTACCAAAAAAAAAATAAAAAAAATTAACTTTTATTAATAATTTTAAAGAATAAATGCCAAAATATATTTATATTGTCATTCAATTTTTTTTTATGATTTGATTGAAAATTTAAATTTTAGATATCAATTAAAGTATCACGTGATGAAGCAGTTGTAGAACAGGATATCTTCGAAATTGCCCTTGCGCTGCTCGCACTCGTCTATTGAATTACTACTACTTACTCAACAGAAATGAATATTGCAATTAAAGGGCTTCGACTTGAATTCGAAAAGGCGCGTACAGGTAAACTTTAATAAACCTTTTCTACGCGTTTTCATGTTTTTCATATGATAATGAATTTGGCCATTTTAAGAACTCGACTTTATTGAGGCTAAAGTTATTTCGGAATTTATTCGAAAATATGAAATTGAACATCATGCTCCAACAAACCCACATAAGGCTTTATCTAAAATAAAAAAATTAAAACAGGATTTGGAGCTTTTGAGAATTGAAAATGATCGAATAATGGTTGCGAAACAGGTAATTAAAAAGCAGGTTTATATTAAAATAACCTTTTCGATTTATTGATATCAACTTTGTAATTTAGGAATTTATTCACGATATGAATGAATTAATAGAGGTAAATAAAGAAATGTATGACAAAATTTTACGTCAAGCTGGTTTGCAGGTAATAAATAATATTCTTATTCGAGATATTTTTTTTTTTTTTTTTTTTTTTTTTGAGGTCAAAATTCTAAAATTTATGCGTCAATTTACTTCAAACTTTCAATTAGTATAATTTAGAAACTGAGTTCGTTTTAAATAATTATGAAATTATAGCAAATTCTTGGAAATTGGATATGGATAATTATCAAAGTCCAGACTTTTTTTAATTTATCTAAATTTAATTTTGCGTTTCGTTTTACGTGTCTAATTCCGTACAATTTTATAGGAGGCAGATATAATCTCAAGGAAGCTTCTAATTCGAATCAAACAAATCTAAATATCTCCAATAATAATATAATTTGTAATTCAGTCAAACAACTAGAAGTTGAAGATCGGGAAATGCTAGTGAAGGATCTGGACTTTCATTTGATTAATACTTTATCATTGGACGAGCAACCTAGTACATATTTAATATATAATCATTTAATTAAATTTCAATTAACATTTTAATATAACAAAACATCGAATCTTAGGAAAAGAAGTACAAGAAGAAAAGACTTTTATTGATAAGGAGAATCATGAGCCTGCTGAAGAAACCAAAAAGGTATACACAAAAATATCGTGATTTAAATCAATAATTTTTTTCTGATATTTTTTTTTATGTGACACATATAGACAGAAATTGAGGATCGCAAAATTAGTAAAAAGTTCGTACCGATTACAGATAAAGAGTTTTATTCTGTATCTGAATTGATAAGGACAAGAAAATTGACACTTGAATCTGTGAACAAGGTACCGTATATCATTATCATTATGCATGAATTTAATAATGGATTCTTAAATTTTAATTTTGGTTGTCTTATAGGTTTATCGTTGCATCTGGGACCATTTCAAAAAGAATAAAAAGAGGTAAAATATTTATTTAGTATACTTTTTTAATATATTATTATATATCTAACACTCGTTTAGTCCTCCTTTGACCACTATTCAAATGGTGAATATGGGATTAAAAATCACTGGTGTAACAGGAGAAGCGAATCTGAAAGTTTTAAGATCATTGAAAATTATCAAAATGGAAAAATCTGGCGTAAGTTTAATAAGATGATAGAATAAACTACGAGAAGGAAAAATATTGTAAAGGTATATTTAAAATTCTAGTTATACTATGCATTTATGTCAAATATTGCGGGAAAAAAAAGTTCGTATAAAGAAATTGTAAATTGTAACGTAGAGGATCAAATATATTAACATTGCAAGGATAAATTAATGAAGAAAAATTATGATGTGAAAAAAACACATTAGTTCGACAGAACAGGTAGGTAAGAAAAATAGGAAAATATCTTCAAATCAATTGTTATTTCGGAAATAAAAAATACGAACATCGAATATAATACGAGATTATAGCGATGGTACGTCAACTACCATAACTGCTTCTTCTTTAGATTTCAATGAACGCAGTATAATTGGACGCTTAGGAGATAATATTATAACGCTACTACTTCCAGCAAAACATGAACCTACATTTAACAAAAGAGACTTTTAGTGATGAACGAAATTAGTCGAATATCTAAAATATAATAGAACAAATAACGAACCATTTTCGGTTCCTGTACGATTACATGCAACAAATAATACATTGCGTTTTGGTTCTGAATTTTGCGGAAAAACGTTATAATATTCTTCTGAATCAGTAAAATAAGGTAATAATCGACTACACCAATAATCTATAGTAGAATGGCTTGGTTCATCATTATCATGAGGTTGTGATTCATCACAAGAAGATTGAAGCCATGCCATCGAACATAATATAATATCGGTTTGTTGCCGAAAATGATAATTGGCGAATTCAAAATCTTTAAAACTAGCTTTGAATTGATACGGATTGATATCCATGCAAATACCGAGACCGATCTTTTGAAGAAACTTAAATTTTTAACATTATTTTTGTAATAATGTTACAATTTAACTTGCTAAAGAGACGAACCTTTCCCAGATTAGGAACATTTATTGATTTGAATCCAGGACCTTCTTCAGCCCAACTTTCATCTGTTGAAAACAAGTGAGACTTCTGATATGTTTCAATAAGTTTACCATACGGATCAATAAAACATATACTATTATAGTATCTGTCTGGATTTCCTGTTTAAATTTTGAAATCATACGTTAAAATCATTTGGCTAATATGATATCTATCAATTAAATGAATTTTATCATTTCTGATGCCTTTTACAATTTGTGGATATCCGACTACGACAAATGCACGTAATCTAATAGCTTTGTAGAAAAATTTAGAAATAAATATATTTTCAATGTTTCAATTTTATTAAATATATGTTAAAACTAACCTTGATCTTTGGCCCATTGAACTGAAGTTCCTGTCTCAGAGTCTTCTAAATATGGCTTAATATGGTCCTTATCTTTGAAAACGTAACCTAATATCAATAAATACTGATTTAAATTCGGTAAAGCGAAATAGGTATGAACTATTTGATTATATATACCGGTAAAGGCCATTTCCGAAAGAACTAGAATGTCAATATCACCTGGTTGATATCTGCATTTCAAGTATGATATTAAGAACGGTTCAAAGTTCCTGTTTCAAAATACCAAGGAAAACATACTTTTCCAGCAACTTAGACGCGAAATTTTGATTTCTTTCAACTTCACCGATAATTTGATTAAACTGTAGACATGCTTTGAATTTACATTAAATCACGATTTTTTACTTTTGAATATGAATAATTTATCGAATTTAATGATAATCCCTACCAACTTTCATCTTAGATTTATGGTCTTTGAAAGTCAAGGTAAAGCCGATTGCGTTTCCTGGTAATTTATACTTCTTAAATAAAATTCGTTTATTGAGATAAGATATAAATTAAATTAGTTTAAAGTTTGATCGACATTAGAAAAGGAAATTAGTCTAATACATTATAATATTGGATCAACAGTTATATTATCTAAAATAAAATCACATGTATAGTTATCAATTTATAGTGTTTTTGGTTTGAACTACAGTATTAAGCAATTTTTTTTATTATAAATGATACTTTTTCAATTTCTTATTCTAATTTCCCGAAATCCGTCGGCTTCAACCAACAAAGTCAATCCTCCTTTCTTGTGTACACTTTTTAACCAAACAAATATTGTTGATAATTATATACACACATATTCTATCCATTTCCGATCTAAAAATAAAGAAAATTAGAATAGAATGTACAATAAAGAACCAAATAGTTAAGACATACCCGAAAGATAAAATTTTTTGTGACTGATTTTTTTTTTTTGTTATTGAGCAGCTTGTCTTCTTCTCTTTTCTGTTTGTGCTTTGAAACCTGTTTATAACATGAAAAAGAATTCACGTTAAAGAATTCCATCATTCATAAATACAATGATAATATATGTATGTAAAGTACCTGATTTAATCGCAGAAACTGATCTTGTTGATCCACAACTTTCACATTGTTGGAAGAAAATACGATTTTCTTTGGTAAGAATTGTATCAGGAGACTTACAAGTCTTGCAAGTAACGTACTCGACTGAATAGATGATCATTTTACACATGTTAGCTCATTCTCCTAATTTATAACAACTTTATAAATCCATCTAAATACCTATGTACCGACGCAAAACATTTTCGATCTGTTTTTGCTGAAAACGACCTTTGATGACCAAACGTTGTGAACCGTCGATTGAACCACTTGTACCCAATTCAGTAAATAAGAATTGAATTACGTGTTCAGGTTGTCTGTGCATCCTGTAACGAGTATATATAATATCATATTATCAAATTGAATTCGAAATTATAAAACGAATTTGAAAATTCTTCAATTTTTTAACCTTTTGCAAATATCTGCAACGTTTGCGAATATCGTCTTTTTATTTCCTTCGCGATGAACTGAGGGTGGTACAATTGTATATCTTTTCTTTTCACCAGCAAGCTCGGGATTATTTTGCCGAAGAATTTGAAAGACTCGTCCCAAAAGCTATAATTACAAAATTGATAACGAATTTAAGAAAAACTAATAATATTTTTTTTTTTAATAGAAAACATTTATAATAATTTCTCTCTTAATTAGCAAAAAATACATACTTCTTGATATGTATAATCTCGATCTGAATTAAGCCAGGCTTCTTCAACTTTTGTTTCTTTAACATCTTGCTCACCTTCTCCAACAAATATGTCATCATCTTGTCTATTTTCGACTTCATCACCTTCCTTTAATTGTTTTTCAAATTCCAACATATCTGTCTTCTTCTTCTTCTTTCTCTTGGGTGGTAGATCACCAAATTCAGAAGGTTCTGCGGCTTCTTCTTCTGTCTTTTCTTTCTATTGCAAGGTAAAGGAATAAAACATCAGGACAATTATTCAATAAACCTATTAACACAAAAAAAAAAAAAAATCTAGAGGGATATTTACATCAGCTGCTTCCTTCTTTTTCTTTTTCTTTTTCTTCATGTCAGCAAATATTGAAATATCATCATCATCTGCTTTTACTTCTTCTTCATTGGCTTCGGCTGGTGTTATCATAAAGATTAGATCAATGATAGTTGTAACTCCAATATATTTTACTGCATCAGATATTAATTCATCCAATTAATTAATTCATTTTACCTGATTTATCCCCATTTTCTGCTTGATTTTCAGCATCCTCGTCATTTTCTATTTCATCCTCAAAAATTACAGCTTTCTTTTTCTTTTTCTTCTTTTTCAGAGAAGGATCAAACAGCAACTATATAATATAAAAGCAAAATATAAATAACCGAATATATATATATAATCATAAGTACTTCTTCACTCTGTACTTCTTCGCTCTTCTCTTCTTCCAAATTTTGTTTCTCTTGTTGATCGTTTTCAATGTCTGACATGGTTTCAGCTTAGAATTCGAAAAAAATAAATAGATCAAGGGTTATTTTAATTATTAAAGTGTACCCTGAATTATGCCTTATTTATAAGATAATCATTCAAAATTACAATGAGTCATAAAATTACGATGAGTCATAACAACACATCAATCACGTGCAGACTCTCCGATAGTTTATATTAATTTCCGCCACTGAACGACTCACTGAACGTTTTGCCCTAATGCACTAAGACCATGTTTGGAAGTGAAGACTAAAGAACAATTAGATATTTTGTCCGTAAGAAACTTTTAGGGTTAAAGGACCTAAAAACCAAAACTGGTTGATAACTGATTTGCTTATTGACTTTTGGAAAATCTTTCTATGCCTTGTTATAACAATTTTCAACTTCTTTCAAATGTAAGTAAATATTGTAGGGAATAGATTTTGTGTTTTCAGATTTCATTATTTTAGATAACAATAGGTGTGATAGTTGTAGATAGCACTTGTGAGTTTTCGTGAAAGGTTTGTGAAGAAACGTAAATCGCCAGTGAGAGAGATGGAAAAATAACTGTGAAGCTGCTAGTATCAGATCATATATACTGTTCAGGACGAGCTTGGTGTGATTTCACTCATGGTTAATAGATAGTTAAAGGAGAATAATCGAAGTCTGGTTTTGATCTTGCACCTAAATGTAAGAGAACAGTATTAAGGGCACTTTCCAAAATTCACCAACTACATACATCAAAAATAAGACCAAATTTTGTAATAAATCAGGTTTAAAATATTGATGTGAGTAATATGAGTATCTTTTATGTTGAAATGAAATTTAGTTGTGATAGTATGATTTATTCTCCGAAGATTATATATTAAACAATGGCTTCATAAGACTCTATTTTTCATAATAAAATTGTTGATACAAATGAATAAACATACTGTATATGTCTCTATTAAATAAAAAGAGAAATAAAAAAAATTTGTTGCCACTTACAATATAAGTATATAAATGATCTAATTATAATTATTATATAAAATATTCTATGATTTAAATTTTCTATCTCAATAATACTTTTTTTTTTAACATAAATAATTATATTAAAGATTCATAATTCGTTTGTGCTTTAAAAATTTTTATAAATTTTTATTATACTTAAAATGGTACTTAGTATCATTACAGCTATTCCAAACCCAACACATAATACGGCTGGTAGTTTTTTCCTACTCCACCATTTCCCTGACGACAATTTAAGGAAACATACAGGAGGTAAAATATAAGCTAATGCTGTTGCTGAACATCCACCTGTCAATTCTAATACAATGCCTAAATCACTTGTTAACAATGACACTATCATTGCACACACAACGAGTACAGTAGTCGAGATCACGTGTCGTTTCATTGAAAATGGTGCATTTGAGAAATAATATATCTCAATTGACTAAAAATATTAAGATAAACATTAATTTTAACATGCCTAGATAAAATATTTATTGCAATTAAAGCATAAATACCTCTCTGCAAACAAATGCTTCCAATGGTAAAGTTGTAAACATATTGAATCCGAAACAAAATCTTGCTATGTTTATAATAACGTTATCTTTGGGAAAATTGTTTAAAATATTTCCTGAAAGAAAGGAAAAAAGGTGTCAATATAAAGCGTAATAATTTCAATAGCTTCAATGTATTTATTGTATTAGAAATAACCTTCTGTTTTATCAGTAAACACCAGATATCCGACCAAAGCTACCAGTAAACATGCTAGCATTGATATTCCCGTAGATAAGTGTGTTACTGCCGCAAATCGATTCAACGTGGGTTTACGCAATGAATCGAAAATCAACAAACTGTTGTGATGACAAACAAAAGCTACAAATTATAACAATATTTAAGTATATCCATCGCAGTAAAATTTCTGGTTAAGAAAATATATTTACCAAAACTAATTATACCAATTGACTAGTAAGTTAAAAAAAACGATTAGAGAATAATTATTTTCTAAAATTGAATAATTGCGTAAATCCTACCTGAAATATTTGTGGTTGAACAAAAGTCCAAGTTTCCTCACTGCTACCCCTTAATTTTTGATCAACTTGAGGAGCCTCTATTACAACAGATGTTACTATAACAGTCATCGATACTAAAGCCAATCCACTTGCTTTAGACAACTTTGAAATATCTCGGTACAAAGATAATGGATATGATATGAAAATAGTACAAAACATGATAACAAAATAACGATCCGTAAAAAGATTAAGAACCGGGATCTTTATTATGGCGGGAAATAGCGATGCAATGACGTGAGGAATTGTGTCACCTAAAGTATTTATGAATATTGTTTTTCTTTTTCTCATCTTAATATGTACAAAGGAAAAGTTTGGGCAAATTATTATTAACGATTATTTATTTACCTATAACAACACAGAATGCACACATTCCTAAAAATAATTAATTATGATTTAACAAATTTGTTAATGAAAACATTATTCAAAAGACATAAAAATTTTTCTCACCTCCAAATGCAAATACAAATTGAAATCCGGATATTATTATCAGTCCACTCTTTCCAAAACAAAATTGCATAACCTCTTGATATGAGTTTCGTCCTGATAATTTAGCATTATAGATCAAAAGTCGTATCGTCCAATCTACCAAAACCGTGAGTCCTATTAAAAGAATAACACCGGCAAATACACCAGACTCACGAAATGCGAACGGCAGTCCTATAATCAAAAACAGGTTCAAATGGCTACAATTTACGGAATTCATAAAATGAAGTCCGTGAAATGATACTAACCGATAATACCTATAAATAAGAGATAGTTAGTAAATAAATAATAATTTTAATTAATATTTATTTATTGATCTAGTTAGTAAATTAAGAAAATTTTTAATCTTACCAGCTCCTATAATACTATTTGCCATATTTAAAAAGCTTTCAAAAAATGAACCGCCATCCTTTGGCATTCTTAAGGTATCTCCATTTTCTAAAACTAATATACTATTTGAATCTGGTGCTATGGAGTCTCGTGAAGAATTAGATAATAATGGTGCCAAATCACCAGTGTTTGAAGGTTCATTCTCTTCTTCGGGTAAATACTTTTTATGTTTCTGTTTGTGAGAAGTTACTTGAAGAGATATAGACTCTTCAAACTCTTCATTTTCTTCATTATCTAATACAAAAGGTAAGTTATCCTGAGAAGAATTATGAGACATTATTATATTAAAAAAAAATAAGTTGACGATTGATTTTTATTATTTTACTCTATTTACTCTATTAACTAGTAATTCTATTGTTTAGTTATTCTATTTAGTATTCTATTATATAGATAAATGCTAATCACTAAAATTGCGTTTTACTATAATTGATTATCGGCTAACCATAATTATTGACTTCAGTAGATAACTTTAGATATACGTTGGATTGAATTCATTGAGTACAAAGGATTCACGTGGGACATTGGCTTAAAGTTAACATATCCCACTATATAAAGAGTATGTTACGACATAGGGAGATTTTTTTTTTAAACAATGTGGCAAAAATTTTTTTACCCATATTTCGCAAACGTTAATATGGAACAACCAGCTGAACAAGTAGTCGAAAAGATAGAACCTGAATTCCCGAATCATCCATTTTATCCAAGAAATCTTAAGGTATTAAATGAAAAACTAAGAAAACTACTTCGTAATATCATCAATTCGATACTAATTTATTGTGTTTCATGTTCTTTTCTTTTTGAAAGTTACCAACATTTACCGAAAAAACACATTCAATGGAATATTCACTAGGAGTTTTTGCAGGAATAGCGATAATTGTTACTTTAATATCCACATTAATTATTTATCAAAAACAAAATATTAGCAAAGCAAATAAATTCGCATTTGTGTGGTTTATTATAACTGGAAGTATTCATATATTTGTAGAAGGATATTTTGCATACTTTCATGAAACGTTGCAGTCTGATAATTCCTTAATTGGTCAATGGTGGAAAGAATATGCTTTAAGCGATTCAAGATACTTATCATCTGACCCATTCGTGGTGAATATGGAACGAATCACTGCGGTAATAGCAAATTTCAAGAAGTATGTTAATTTTTTTGTATTTTAGTTTGTTCTCACAACTATTCTTTCTTTTTTTACTATGCGGTATATTAGATTTTTTGGGGAACAGGGTCTTATTTAACAGCCATAGGAATACATCAGAGTTGGCCATCACGACATGTTATACAATTGGTAACAAGCTTAGGCCAAATATATGGATTAGTATTATATTATTGGACATCATCATTTGAAGGATTTCCCCATTCACGTCCTGAACCTTTATATTTTTGGGGTTACTTTTTGGGAATTAATTCCATATGGGCTTTTATACCCGGTGCTTTGTTACTACAAAGTTGGTCAAATTTGACCAACGCCGTTAGGGAGAATCAAAAAAGGAAAAATAAGAAAACTGATTAAAAAGGGACCGGATTTTTATAACTTTTATTAATTATTTATTTATGTATTTATTTATTTATTTATTTACTTATTATTTATTATTTATTTATTATTTAATTATTAATATATTCAGTATTTTCCAAGTCATTAATAAATATTATTATTTATTTATGAAAAACAAATTCAAAAGTTAATTATAATAATAACCCTCTAGAGTAAAAGAAGTGAGGATGAAATTGTTATTTTACCAGTAAGTACTACTAAAAGCAGGGATGATACACATGTACAGGCAATCATGAAAAATCGGATCATCCGTTACGTATCATAGTAAAAATTTTCAAAAAAAAATCGATATATCAAGAAATCTAAAATAAATTTAATAGTTTATTATCGTACTATAACTTCAGATATCGAAGATCTGGTTTATCGAGATTGCCTGTATATAATTGAACATCCTTTTTTGGTATGACTAGCATTCAGACTATCGAGTAGACTTCCAAAAGCATTTATTAATTGGAGGTTCCTTGATATTCGAATATTTGATTATAAATCGAGTGAATCTTGGAAAATTCGAGAATTCGAGATACGAATGTGACAGATTCGGATACGTCATGTGACTCAAACACAAATATTTGAAAAATGGCCAATTTTTTATATTTCATTCTTCGAGATGTTCATTTTTAAAAAATTCTATAAGATGATATTATAGTTCGATGGCCTTGTTTTATTTGAGACATTTGTGATTCGAATCATCAATTTCAATGTTACACAAAATCGGTTAAATGTTTGTTTAAATACAAATGATTTCTTTAATTTAAATTGAAAAAAAAATGAATAACAATTCTGTTTCGTTGCCAAATAAATCAATTCGAGAACATAGATATCGTAAAGGATATTTAAAGAAACAAGCTAAAAATCTTGATCGAAAAGAACATGAAAGTAATAAAACGGTATCTTTTAGTCAAATAAATCATGTCGGTTTAACTTATGAAAATTATAATAGGTCAATAAACAAAGAGATAAATTATATAAATAAAAATAATGAGAAAATGAAAGTATGGTTCAGTGGAAGAACTAAAATGAATACGAAATTTAATAAATTTTTGGTATGTATTAAATCAAAATCAACATTAATTTATTACTATTTTCTTTTAAAAGTTTTATTTTACAGATTGAAGACAACAAAAGAAATGGTGAAAATTATAATGGAGATTGCACGGAAGAAATACATTTTTCGTAGCGGCATTTTTACTGCATAAGACTTGATCATTTTTTGAGTTGGTTGTATCAAAAATGTTCTCAGGACTTTCTCTTCTATTTTTGATACTAAAAAAATGATGTAAAGTATTTTAATTTCGTACTTGAAAAAAAAAAAAAAAATAAGATATATTTTTGATAACCTTTGTTTATTTATTATTGTTCGTATTGGGAATTAGGATTAATTATAATAAAATTGTTCTTTTTTTTTAGATTATATTAAATAAGCTTCGAACGATGATATTAATTTTTACACTTCGCCAAATCACTAAGTATTAATAAGATTACATATATTTGAAGGGTTAATTAAGTTTTAGATTTATTAATTAAATTAAAGTATTACAAACAAAAACCTTTACTTCGGAGATCATTCCTCATCTTCAGACCAATCATTTTCTAAAGGTCTCTTTTTAGATAGGCGAATATTGGCTGTGGAAGATTTTCTAGAAGTTGATTTTGAGAGTAAATCATAGCTATGAGGAGAAGAAACCGCAGACACGACAGTGGAAGAAGTATCAGGTGAATCCGGAATTGAAGATCGATTATGTATTTTTTGCTCTTCTTGATGTTGAACTAATTTATATAAACTTTTTTCCACCAATTTAACTTCTTTTAATTTCATTTCTCTTAATTTTATTGGATTATGGATATTTAGCTTAGGATATACCTTTATTAAATAGTAATTATGTTAGAAAATGTTTTTAACTTGAATAAGACGTGGATAAAGATGACTTACGGGTGTTTTCTTGTAAGAATGTTTAGCAGGAAATGGAGGCATATGGGAAGGAACATATTTTGGACGATATTCATCATCTTCATTTATATCTTCAGGATTATATAATGTCATCGAAGGCGTCTTTGATTGGCTTTCTGATTGTATTGAAGATTTTAAATCAGACGCGAATGTATGATAATTTTCCTTTGCTGTAAACAAAAAAGTTGTTTAATTAACCATTAACAACATACATAATTAAGATCTTATCAATTACCTTTGAGACATTTTTCTATGTGCCCTTCAAGGGCTCCTGTTTTAATATTCCATTCTTTAAAACTTTTTTCGACATCATTAAGATTTATCTGTGACCGACACGCTAATTCTGCATATGCTTGTGATGTTTTAATTATGTTTTCGAAATCTAAATTCGAATTAATCTTATTAGTTTCTGAACGGGTTAAAGCAAATAAATTTATTTAATATATCTTTGATTACATGTCTCCAATACGTTGGCTAATACTTCATTTGCTGAAGAAGTTATACTAGAAAACCCGGTCTCCTTTGCTAAAAATGCTCCTATTCTCTTATTTATTTCATTAACTATTCTTGTATTAATATTATTTGTCTCTAAACTACGAGGTTCATTCATTTTTCAAAAAAAAAAGGAAAAAGGGAGAATTTTTAAAGCTGAGCCAAAATAATCAAATTTGTGATATGACGTTTCTTTCAATTTTGATTGGCCAAAAATTACAATTAAAGCCACGTGCACAACAGAGTCCATTCCAAAGCTTATGCGCTTTGTTTTTGTAAATTATATATGATCCCAACTCCCAAGGGACTGTATTATTAATATTACCGAATTTTCGTCGATTTTTACTAACTTTATCATGCTAACGGAAAATTCTTCAATTGGTAGATCGTATAACACAGTATTATTGAAATTTTGAACCTTAAGCGAAAACATTGATATTATATAACAATTCGCGCAGATTTTCATAGTGGCCGAGAACCGGTGACCGTTTCAGCTTCAAGAAAACCAGACATTAAAATTCTGATAGGATGAGAAAAACGCGTGATTAATTCAGTGAAATTTAAAATTTTTTACGCGTAAACCATTTGTTACATAAATGATAAGAGTTATTAATTTATCCGCAATCCCGCAATCCAGTGATCCGGATTGCGGATCACTCGGTTCTGGCCGATAGATTTTCATCATAAAATAGGGGCTGATCTAAATTTTTTTTCATTTTGTAAAAAATGGCTCGTCGTAAGTCCACAGCTAGAGCTCCTAAACAAAAAAGAACAGCTTCCACTTCTTCAGCGCGTCCTAATCCACCTCCAACAAAACCTGCACAACAAGCAAACGCTAATGTTCCTGCTGTTCCATCTAGACAACCAACTAAGTTAGCCGAACAAAGGTCGCCTGGTTTGTTTGGACAGGTTAGCGCATTCTTTATCGATTTTGTAATTTTTTTTTTATTAATTTATGATAAACATTTATTATAATTAATTTTATAATTAGATGGCTTCAACTGCTGCTGGTGTAGCCGTCGGACATAGCATTGTAAGTAAATTTATGATTTAATTAATTACCTTCTAGTTATTGTTAATAACTTGCACTATAAAAATCAACAGGGTCATGGTATTACTGGCTTGTTTTCGGGCGGTAGTTCATCTGAAACACCAGCTTCACAAGATTCTCAAAGTCAATACACTCCTCAAACTCAAGATGTGGTAAATATATCTTTTATCAATTTACTTTTGATTCTTAACTGTTAATATATTTATTATTTAACTCAAAACCAAACCATTGCTCAATAGCAACCTCAATATCAAGCTTACCAAAATGATAGTTATGGTGGAGCTTCATGTGAAAAGGATGCCAAGGCTTTGACCAAGTGTTTGGAATTAAATAACCATAATATTAGTCTTTGTCAATATTATTTAGAGAATCTCAAAGCTTGTCAACAAATGGCTTCTCAATTTTAATTTATTATTCGACGTCCACGATTTTTTTTTTTTTTTTTAAAAAANAAATTATATCGTGATCCAGATTTAAAATTATTTTTGGAGTCTGACACTTTTACCATTGATGTTTTTTTTTTTTTTTTTTAAAAAAGAAAATAAATTAACAAAAACATTTGTTTAACATTGATTAATTCAAAATAAAATAATAATTAACTATTTTCAATAACTTGCTTTATTACTACAAAGTTCCTTAATGAAGGAAATAAGATGAATAATATTAGTTACTCTATATCAGATTTAAGTCAGTGTCGATCTATTATTAAACTATTAATTAATTGAATTTTTGTTCATCGTATAAAACGTTTGAGATATCTTTAGGGTTTTTCCTTAGTATTTCAAGATAAGAGTCGCGTAACGCCATTAGAAGCGCTTGCAATTTTTTCGATCGCACAAAATGCATAGAGAGATCTGAACTTTCTTCTACTACTATATTGGCTAAATTAAAACTTTTTTCCAAATTTCTATTATATAAAAAAAACCGAATTATTAAAATTTTTATTTAATATATATCTTATAAAATTTTTAGAATACATACTCTGGAATAATTTCACGTGTTTCGTACAATGCAGTATGATGTCGAAGTACTGCATTAGGAATATAAATATCCATTACTCGTTCCGATTCACGTATCCGATTCTCATCTTAAAAAAATAAATTAGTTCATTATTTTAGATATTTAGACTTAAATCAATTAATGTTACCTTCATCAGTCATCATGTTATTCGACTCTTTTATGTAGTCATAAACATACGATTCTAAAAATTTGTGAAAAAGATTATCCAAAGAATTCGTGACTTCCTAATTTCAGTCAATAAAAAAATCATATAAAAATTAATGTTCACAACCAGATATGTTATAAATATTTTTTTGGTTCATACTTTAATACTTTTATTCCAGTCATCCGTATCTTTCAAATTACTCCTAATTGAAATAAAAGTAAGTAAAGTTGAAATAAAAAGAACCAATTAGAATCATTAATTACTTCTTAGGTTTCGACTTCCATGTTTTCCACCAAATCTCATATCTGTTATAATATTCTATCATATTGTAATAATTTTGATGCTCAACGTATACAGTATCAATCTCACCATCTTCCGATTTCTCATAGCGTATAATTGATAAAGGCGATTTTGAATTTTTCATCTCCATTATAATCATACCCGCTACATTCATCTTCCCCGAGGCTAAAATATAATTGAATCATTAAATTTTAAAAGTAAAAAAAAAAAACTTTGATTAATTACCAAGAAATCTTCTGCATAAAGTATTTCCTAATTTAAGGGCTTCACGATGTTGCTCCTTGTTAAACGTCAGCCATTCCAATGCACGGATTTGAATTATTTCGGTCTGTTTTATAGGTTCTTTCAAAGAAATTATTCTGACATCAAAAACAGCACCATGCTTATCCTATATAATATTGATTCGATTAATAAAATAATTTTTGAAAAAAATTAAATGAAACATTAATATTACATACCGCAGTTTCAATTTCTTGAAATATTAAATCAAAAGTTTTTCGTGCAATGGCGATCACATTTAGACCATACTGTTCTGCCAGAATGAAAAGTTTATGACGCTCTGCATAACTTGCCATTACATCTAATTTTACATGTAAAACATATTAAGTTTTTGTACATTACATAAGATAAATATAAGATAATTACCTTTTAAAAACAAGGCATAAATTTCAATAGATGTATCTCTAGGTAATTTTGAAGCATATAATGCAATAAGCTTATTCTGTTGGTTTAATATTAACCATTAATAATTTTTTTAAAATAATATCAGATTGTAAAATATATAAAATATACCTGTCGATATTCTATTAATAATTCAGTATATAATTTGATAATATGATCCGATTCCTTGTCAGGAGTTGGAAGCATCAAATCACGTAAATACAAAATCAAATGCGTTGCCAGGCGAAGGAAATGAAAATATGCAGTTTCACTAGATAAAATTTATTCAATTAATAATAAATCATATAATATAGCACAATATCTCAAATACTTATTTACTCTTCACGACTTAGCCGTTTATCGATTAATTCCTCCTTTAATTGTTTAACCAATTCCTTTGAATCATTCAAAATAATCAATTTTTGAATGATGTGAAACCTTTCAATATCAGGATCTCTAAAGTCATTAAACAAAGTAAATATTTACGGATGATCTTATGTCAATCCTAAAATACTTAAATTTTAAATGCTTGCCTGTCAATTCTTTTTGATTCCACCATTTCAAAAATTTTATTTGGTGTAGTAGATTTGATATTTATAGGTAAATCGTCGTCTTCATTAACTCCCATATGTCGAACATGCTTACTAAAGTACTTTAAATATATAAATAAGAATACGTATGTCATTGCTAATAAATTTAAAATAAGTGCTTAGAAATTTATTAGAATACACACCTCATCTTGCTGACACTCGATAAGACTATGATAATAAGCCCAAATATGATCTTCCCAGGTCCGACAAACAGGAATGATCTTAAAAATATAGAACATTGTATTACATAATTAATTCCTATTTTAAAATGCACTCAATATATTTACATTTTCATAATCTCCACTAAGAACACCATAAATTGCTCGATCATAAATATAAAGGTTTTCCTACAAACAAACATAAAATATCATGTATCATATAATTATTTTAAATAAATTTGTATAAAATATAAAATATAAACATTTACCTGATTAGCACAATGATAACACGTTGTACGCCATATATGCCGGTTAATATTACCAATTGTTGATATAACATCATCTTTAACGTAGATATTTTAATTAATATTATTAGTATTTAATAAAAACTAAAATTATAATATTCTGAATTATTCAAGGTTGTATTCATTATTCATCCGAAATTCGTAAACCTTCAAATCCATATTCATAATTATGGATTAATAAGAATTTTGTGTTTTACAATTTTATAACTTAATTCGCCATACTTCAAATTCTTATACTATTCTCTACCAAAGAGAAAATTCCATAAAAAACGAATATATGAATATTTCCAAGATTTTATTCTATAAGACATTACCATCAACTTTTTCATTGTATAATATGATCCCACTCATACTGGCAGTTCGCCAAAAATGACCATTTTTATCGCTAATATCCATTGCATCGTCAACCTGACCTCTCCGTAAATACTCAAATATAGACCTCGCAAGCTCTTTTTCGTGTTCCTAAATTAATCATAACATAAAAAATCCAGTAAAAAAGAGAAATTGATTGGATAATTCGAATTTACCTGATCAAGAGAATCTAAAGCTCGTTGGGTTCTGTGAACACCATCTGGATCAAGGTACTTGTATTCTTCTGAATCTCCTTTTTTAAGGTTCAATAGGATTGCATTTTTAGTGAAAGCACGATATTCAGGATTTGTTTCTACAGTAATGAATTCTGGTGCTATCTTCCACAACCATTGACGTACGATCTATAGAATGAATGTGGTTAGTTACCATTATATATCAGAAAATAATTTCAAAATTATTAATAACTCACCCAAGCCTCAGCAAAATCCTTATTGATCGCGAGAAGCTCACATAAAAGTTGCCCATCCGTTTGAAATGGTTTTCTTGCTTCATCAATATTTTTTATAGGTGTGAATCGATATCTGATTGATAAGAATATAACAATATTAGTTACAAACGCACCTTATTAGTGTTCAAACTTTACTTACTGTGATAATAATTTTAATAAATTCCACGTATTCCGTTCAGCCTCCCAGATCTGATATCCTCGGGGATCAGAATTGAACATTCCACTACTTTCTTCACGAAACGTTTTATAACTACGAAAAAATCAGCAACACTAAATTACGCGCTCAATTAAATATTAAGTTGAATGAATGTGATTAATTAATTAGAGCTTACTATTCGTCACACATTTGTTCATATGTCTTAGGGACAGCTGTTATATCTTCCTGAGACCGTGTATTTTCATACACTTCAGCATACTTTAGAATTATATCATTACCAAAGTATATCCCATCTATAATTGTTATTCGCGTTAAATTTAGTTATTCATAAATCATTGACAAATAAATAAAATTCCAGACCATTTAGATTTGTTTCCAAACTGGCAATGGATGAATTTACCTAAAAAAAAGTTAAATCAACCTTTTAATATAAAAAGTATTAACCGAAGTAAGAAAAATGTGCAGAAAACCAACAATACTGGGGACAAACAAATCGGAAGAATAAGATTGTGTAGTGGCATATAACGACGAAGGAGTATAATGTCTTGGCGTTTCTTGAGACCGTGAAACACGCGGCGTGCTAATAGGATCAACATCCATGGAATTGCTTTGATCCATTTTATGTAAAATGTTTTAAACAAGATCGCGTTTTAATTTATTATTTTTCGTACCACCAGATTGGTTGAATTTCTACAGGCGCCGGCGATAATCTCGTCCTTTTTAGGCCGGATACTACATTCTGTGTTACTCTAAAGCTGATTGACCAGAAATGAAATAAAATCACATGATTGGCACAGTATATTGATATAAACGTAATTTCGTATCCGAAAATTTGAATTAATAGGTAGTAAGAAAAATTACAATCCTAATTTTTAAATTTTTAAAATTTAACTATATAAAAAATAAGTTAAATTGCCATATTAAAATTTTGAATTCATTAATAAATAAGTAGAATCTAATAATTTAATTTAATACTTATTTTAAAATCAATATTTTTTAATTTGAAAATCTACCTTTAAGAAAATTTATTTAATTAATAATATTAATTATATTTATAAAGTAGTATATTAATTTGTTGTAAGTTTATTAATTAAATAAAAACAAGTTATACTTATCATATTTAATATATATCTAATTTAATTAATACTTTAAACTGAATTTTCATTTAAATCCTCTTTGCTAATGGATGGAATTGTTTTTTTTTATATATTACATAAATTTCTAATAAACTACTACTTCCAGTAAAATTAAACAAAAAAAAAAATTCTATTTAAAAAATTATTAAATTTCAAATATATTATATATAGTTTACAATTAAGTAAAATTTAATATATTCTTTATTTTAAAAAATTTATTGATTAAATTTTAATAAAATTTATATTATTAATAAAAGAAATCCAATGATAGTAAGATTGCATTTTTAGCATCAATACTAATTAAAAAAAAAATAAGAAATATTTAGTTTTTAAGTTGTATAGATAGATTTAATTATTATTAATATTAATATTTAATATACTCTTTTATACTCTTTTTAATATAAATACAGATTTACTATATATAAATTAGATTAAATCATCCAAAAATAAGTTGATTTAAGTAAAAAAATATATATTATTTAAATTAAAATTAATAATTTCAAATTTCAAATTTCAAATTTTTATAGTTTTAAATTTTAATTTTCAATTTCTAAATTTGTTTTATGATAAATTCAAATTTCAAATTCTAAATTTCCAAATAAAACTTTTAATTATAATAATAGGAATCTTTGTAATAATAATTAATAATATAATATTTACTAAATTTATTAGTAATAAAATAATTAAAATATATAGTTACATATAAATAATTATCTTAATATAATACTTTTATATTTAAAAATCCTTTTAAATTCATCAAATTTCTGATTATTTTGAATTTAAATAGCATATATAAATTAAATAGAATTCTGATATTTTTAAAATAAGTCATAAGTTATTCTTTTGACAAATTAATCTATTAAAAGTTAAAAATTAGGGTTATACAATTTTCTTAACATCTAGTGATCTAATTTCAATGAATTTTTTTTTATTTTTATGGCTCTTATTAAGTTCTATAATTTAAAAAAAAAAAGTTTATCAAAATTGAACTACTAAATACCAAAGATATTTGCAAAAAAATGATTTTTGAATTTTGGCAAAAAAGGGTGATTTTAACTAAAAGTCCATTATAACCTATATATTAGATGTTCAGAATCTTAAATCAAATCAAATTTAAACTTTAATTAAAAAATTTAATAAAATAAGTTAAACCAAATTAAATGATTCTATAGTTAAATTAATTTATATTAATTTTGAAAAATTAATATTAAATTATTTATTTATTTTCATTTAAATTGAAAAAAGAATATTCTCACTAAAGGTTAATTACTCTTACAATCACGTGTTAGAGCATAAATACCGAAAATCACGTGGCAGAACTTTTTTGAAGCTTTCGCAAACTGGCGATTTCATGATCGACATTGTGTCAAGTACAGCATTCCTAGCCCGATGTAAATTAATAATGATCTAGTTGTTAAATTTTACATTTATCATTTGTATCATGTACAAAACATTTATCATTTGTATCATGTACAAATATATTAAACCTTTTTTTTTAATTTCTGCATGAAATGAAAACATCTAATGAACCCCGGTAAAAAAGTTTTTGCGAGGTTACATCTGGCTGTTTTATATTAGAAAGATATGCAAAAGGTTAAACTGCAAATTCTTGCTTATGTCTTTCTTTTAGTAGAGTTCGATAAAAAAAAGCACAATATCTTTTTGGCTTCATCTTTAGGCTTCATCTAAATCATAAAGAATTATCTTCGATTGGTTACTTCAAAGATATTAGCCAACTCATTTTTGGGTGCACAACGATCAGATTTACTAAATCTAGCATTAGCTTTTCGTATATAAATCAGATCTATTAGATCTTCTAGATGTTGATTTTGAACATTAGTACGAAAAAGTGTTACGTTGATTTTTTCTTAATAACCCTAATAACATCACTAGAAAAGACACTGCCCAAAACAATAAATTAGTTTTTCAACAATGTCTTCTAAACACAGACATGACACTTACTGGTTCATTTCTGGTAATTTTTTTTACTTAGTCTAATTTTAGCCTTGATCGTAAATAATCAAAAAAAAAAAAAAAAATAATTATCATATTATTAAAAATATTATTATGAAATTTGAGTTTTAATAGATAGGACTGGGAACATTTTGCGCAATTAATAAAATGCGACGGCGACACAAAAAAAAAAAAAATACATATATATATATATTAAAATAAATCATTTTTTTTTTTTGGCATTTAAACAGTTCCTGCCGAAGGAAATAAATCAGTTGTGTTTGAAAATTTAAAGTCAAAATTATCTGCTCCAGGGCCCGATTATGCTGAAGTATACCAATTCATAATTCCAGAATTTAAGGTAGTGTTAAAATACTAATCATATTACAGTCATTTTTTTTAGTATAATGAATAGTTTATTTTATTAACTTAAAATTCGATAGATTGGAACACTTGATGCACTCGTTGTTATTTCAGACGAACTTATAAAATATGATCAATCCTTTGAATCGACAGCTTTCAAGATTGTTGATATTTTACGCACCCTTTTACAAGGCGATTTAGACCAAGTTGCAGCTAATTTGATCGTTAACGATAGTAAGTTACTTATTACTCAATATTTTATTTTTCTTAAATAATCTGTTAAAGCGATGAATTCTTAAAGTGACACTTATTTATAGGTATTTGACATATTCACCTATTTTTATTAACAGAATCGGTCGAACAATTTTTGAAGACCTTTCAATGGGACACAATGAAATTTCGAGCTGAAAAATCTCTTCAAGAAATAGCCCAAATCCTCAACAAGGTTTGAACTTTTTTTTCAGAGTATTTTAAAAATAAAAAAATATTATCAGTCTCAATAATTTATCATGATAACAGGAAGTGGCATCAATTGACAACATTATGAAGAATAAATCGGGACATTATAATCAGATTAAAGGCAATCTCCAAGCTTTAGAACGAAAGCAAACGTAAAATAATTATATTCTTTATGTTCTCATTTCCTTTTTATTATTTTCCCTCATTAATTTATATTTATTTATTAATAGTGGAAATTTAGCGGTACGTAATGTGGCAGAATTTGCTAAAAAAGAATATTTCATTCTGGATTCAGAATATTTAGAAACCTTGGTTGTAGCAGTTCCCAAGTATGATTTGACTTTTATAAATTCTAATATTATTGTTTTTTTTTTTAATTTTGCTAATTGTAAGCTATATCAAATTTAAGGAATCGTTACAAAGATTGGAATTCCAAATATGAAACTCTCGCGTCAATGATTGTGCCTCGTTCTTCTCAGTAAGTGAAATAAACATTTAATTGTGTTTTTTTCTAATTTGGAAATATCTCTAACGGTGATCTGGAAATATTATATAGAAAAATTGCGGAAGACAATGATTATGGTTTATTCACCGTAACTCTATTTAAGAGAGTAAGCGATGAGTTTGCGAATAAATGCCGAGAAGAAAAGTAATTATATATTTAAATTTTAAATCATTTAATTGAAAAAATTTATTTAAGATATATATTGACTTTTTTTTTTTTTTATTGATCTTACAAAGATTCGTCGTAAGAGATTTCAAATATGATGAAAATGATATGGAAAATCAACGTAAAGAATTTGAGGAAGTTGGAGCTGTAGAAAAAGAGTTAGCTGTAAATTTCGATTAATAATATACTACGGGTTTTCTAAGATGCTCTTTATAATTTATTAATTTAAAATCATTTTATATAATTAGGTTGAATTATTAAGACTGGCCACTGCAAATTTTGGTGAAGTATTTTCATCATGGATCCATCTCAAAGCATTGAGAGTTTATGTTGAATCTGTTTTACGTTATGGCTTACCGCCGGATTTCATGTCTGCTGTTATAAGAGTAAGTTATTTTATTAATTCGAATTATGCATCTTTCACCTACACTTACACAAACTAATTTGTAATTTATTTATATTTAGCCAAAATTTAAGATGGATAAAAAAATAAGGGAGATATTAAATAACCTATATGGAAAACTTGATGGTTTAGCATATGGCCGTGATGAGAATGAAAATATTGAAGAATATCAAAACTTTATTGATAAGGATTATTATCCTTATGTATATTTCCATCTTGAATTTGATATTTATAAACGATAGATGATTAATTTAAGAAAATAATTTGGAAGTTTTACTTTTTAGGCTTTTTTTTTTATGTTACATTTTTATTTATTATTATTTATCTATTTACACTATATATTGATTCCGACTTAATAATATTTATATACAACTTGAATAAATTAATCAATGATGCTTTTATGAATGAGATTTCTATTAATTAAATATTATTTATTTTAATAAATAGTATTATTTTTATTTTTAATAAAATGTATTTTTTTTTATTTCATTCTCTTCTCATGTAATATTCAATAGCAGTTGAAAAAGCTGCAAAACCGGCACATCCAATTAAAGTGGCCTGCGGACCAGATCTAGCTGCTAATACAGCACCAGTTATACAACCAGAAGCAACACCATTATATAAATCATTTTTCGCTCGATACTATAATAACACAAAATAAGATATATACTGTTATATTATTAATAATAATTGAGGAATATATTATTATTATTATTATTATTACTATTTTGTACTTACTGTTTCGATAGCACATTCAGTTCCAGAAAATATTGCACCTACTATAGCAAAATTTTTTGCCATAGAAAAAGAACGATGAGCCATATCCTTTGCTGTTGCTTTTAATTGCTGTTTCATTGGTTGTTCATAAATTGCTGGATCTACCGATGCCATCTCAAATGATGACATAAACATTCCAAATAATCCTCCAAACGCAAATCCTATTTTTATGTATTACCAATAAATAAAAATATAAAATAATTATATTATAATAGAGGATCAGGAGATTTTTAAAAAGGTTTTTTTTTCTCCAAAAATAAAATTATACCTCCTACGCTACTAAAACCGATTTTTAATAAACATGATTCTTGTATCATTTGCATATATTTTAATTCATTTGGTATAGTTTCGTTATTATTAGGAAATCCTGCCATCATTTATTATTAATTTTTTACGTGAAAAATTTGTCACGAAAAAAAAAAGAGATTTTTTTTTTTTTTTTTTTATTTGTGATCCGATCCTATTTATGATAGATGGGAAGTGTAACATTAACAACATAATAGTGATAATATACATTGTGCGTCATGTGATCACGTGAGGTAATATGCATAAATTCGATCCAAAAAATTGATAAACATATTATATAATCTGCAACTAATATAGCTTTTTTTTTTTAACATGCAGGTTAACGTTTACATAGTTGTTTACATAAAATTATTCCAGAAGCATTGGAACTTATTCCGTTAATTACATATAAATCAGGAATATTTATGGAAAAGAATTACGAAGAGAATTTTTTTTTTTTTTTTTTTTTTTT